CATACGCTCTTGCAGTAGAGATTGAAATTCTCTCTGACCTATGTAATAAACATACCACAACTATTGATAATATGCAACGAGTAGTAAAAGTAGCATTAAAAAATAAAAATTCACTTAAGAAAGCATTTCAATTATGCCAACTCCTCTTTACTGCAGGATATTCAAGGTGAGTTCGGCTTGGCAACTCTTTTGACTCCTTTGTCTTCGACACTTTTCACTGCAAAATCGTTCGGGTCAGGCCACTGGGAGCAAATAGTGCAAGCTCCTCATCGTTCGGGACAGCCAAGTAAAGTGAAAAGAGTTAACTCCAGAAGCACCACCTCGAGAGATGAAGTTCGAGGAGCAGGCATGCGCATTTCCTATATTTCCAAAAGGCGGTAAAATTTAAGTTTTTAATAATTCACTATGCTAACGATCCTACCGTAAAGTATTCAAAGAAGATATTTTTTGCTTAGGGCTTGGTCTCCTCCTGGGGTCCTGGTAGAGAAAATGGCATCGCTCCCCCTAAATATCCGCAAAAACACATATGTTCGGTTTGTAATGGGGATAAGCGCCCGCGGCATTCGCGGGCCGCGGCTCGCCTTGCTCCTGATGCGTTCGACTAAATCACTTTACTCTTTTCACTCTGTGATCACGTGGCTATGGAACAGCTCTTTATCTGTTCCAACTCCGTTTTGCCAAGCCGAGCTCACCTTAGCCGCTTTCCAGTATGGGAGTGTGACGCCCGGAGCTACTCGAGGCGTTGAGCTCCCGAGCTGTACGTACGCGTCAACCTGTCAGCTGTCACATCCGTGGGTGGCTATTTATTTATTTATTTCTTGTTATATCTCAAGATTGAACATTTTAAAAAATATAGTTTTGATTCTCTTTCATTTATGATAAATAAAAAAACAAACTGCACAAACAAACAGATAATTATTTTTAAAATTTGACATATTTGATACTAAGACAGGCGTCTCACGTCATGATACTGGAACGGTACAAATCTAGTGCGTGGCGCCCCCGAGGTGCTCTAGAACGCGCCAGAGCGCGCCAATGTGCATACTGGAAAGCGGCTCTTGAGTAGCAACCAGCAATATACTTCATAAAAAATTACTCACGTACAACTATGGGAGAAGAAAGACTAGTGGCCGTTTCACCAACTATTTTAGGGGAGCCTTAACGATAAGTATTCCTTAAAATGACAGTCTTCCATGGAGAAATGTCAGTTTGAGGAATACTTATCGTTAGGGCTCCCCCAAATTAGTTGGTGGAAACGGCCAAGATCACCTAATATCCCTCAAAAGTCAGAAGGACTTGGCCGACTTTATGGACTAAATAAAAAATAGAAAAATATGCATGGACACGGTAGAAAAATAAGTTAGGTACCTAGTAGAGCTTCAATCTGGAATGGAATTTGTTACTGCATTAACATATTTAAGTAAAACATTCCTAGTAATCTATTTTTTTTTTTAAATCGATATCGGCAAATTAATCATAAGTTAATTATACGTTTTCTGTTTTTTATGTATTCTATAAAAGTTGATGAATTACCCACAAATAAATTACCTACTCCAAACTTTTTTTTGTGATTTTTTAAAGTGAGTTGGGAGTTGGCTCATTACGACGTAACGCCCCCCCCCCAATACCAAAGCCTTCGGAACGCCTCTGACGGAAACTACTAAAACAATACGAAGGAAATTTATTTGTGTTTAAAATTTAATTTTGCTTGCATTTTAAATTAAATTTTAAACACAAATAAATTTCCTTCGTTTTGTTTTAGTAGTTTCCGTTAAATTAAATTATGTAATGTTCCTGTAATATTGTCTTTGTACTTTGTCATTTAACTCGCTTTGATTTTTGTTATAAAAAAAAGTTTTAGAGATAATTGATAGATAGGATTTATTTTAGAATTGTATGTCTGAAGATGGTAATAAAAATACCGAAACGTCACAGAAATAATTTATTGTTTTAATGCGCGACCGAATCCCAGGAAAGAAGAAAACTATTTTTAAACGTTAACTCAGAAGATGAATAAACCGGCTCTAAGAATAAAAAAAGTTGTTGGAAAATATCTTTGGAAGAAGACAAGTGTTTAACCAAAGCTGCAACGCACTGCTAATTACTCATACTATGAGTTTATATTGCTCTGACACCGTCAGATTTACGCAAAACGTGTGGTTTGGTTCATAAAAGACAATGAAGACATCCAAATTCTCAATCATTGGTAATGGCGCTACGCTAATTGCAGACCGGTTTCGAACTTGTTAGCTCCCGTCAGTGTAACATAAGCGAAAACACGCTTAGAGGAACAGGTTTGTTGACGTGCTTTCGCTTATGTTAGATGTCCAATGATTAGATTTGAAAATTTAAGGCTCTATTTTTTTTTTCACTTTTGAAATAGGTACTATAAAGGCCTGAATTACCCAAATCCTCTCTGGATGCGGATGGAATGGCAAAGAAAAAAATCTCATTTCTTTTCTTTACAATATTTAATTTTTCCTTCACCTCTTACCTGATGAAAATATAAAAATTTACTTAAGTATTTTTCTTTTTTCAGTTGGCGGAAGATTTGGAAAACTACCTATATTTGAAGTTGATGAAAGCTGGAAGAATAAAGTTAAATCCCGGCGCAGTACAGCACATATTCAAATTCCAAAATTATCGTTTAAATGAAGTTTCAGCCAAGGTTTCAACCCTATCTGCCAACGTATCAGATTTATCATCCCAAATTCCCAGCGCCAACACTAATCTTGATATTGATATAAAAGCAGAGGAGAATTCAATATTTTGTGAATCTAATGATTTTAATGCTACATCGACCGCGACGTTGTTAACTACAAATCATGATGATAAATCTTTTCCAGTTAATTTGGTTTCATCAGAAGACATTGCCATGTGTAACTCTGAGCTTATTAATAACAACAGAAGATATCTTTGAATATTTACAACACGATGCTACATTGTCTGCGAGAACCAATTCAGATGCTGACGTAAACATGGAAAATAATTTAAGTTCACAAAATTTAACACGTTAATCGCCATGACACCCTACATTTGGGTTTCAGAGCTAGTGGTCCTTTATGTAGGGTGTCACCATGCGCGTACACTTTAAAGCCTGTGACCCGGCTCTTGGGCTTCAAATAACATTGCATTATATGAAGTTTTTCTCAGAGGGGCCTGGGGGACCCTACTAACGTTTGAGCCTAGGATTTTTTGTAATTTTTTTCTGTAGAACTACATTTTATTCATTGTAGGAAAAGGCATGGATTACCAGAACAAAATTATTTATCTATGATAAACCAAAATAACGTATAAACTAAATGGTTACTCTATATATTTGTCACAGTCAAAAAACAGGACAGACAATAGAAAAATTTACACTGTATGTAAGAAAATCTTGACTCTGGTCCATTGCTTTGAGCTACTTTTCTGTCTTGTTCAGCACTTAATTTTTCGTAGCAGAACACACATTTTCTACTATCTAATATTCATGCACGTAGTGAACAAGCTTAGGCTTGTATCTTTGAACACCGCTAGTTGGGTTTCGGGGCTCACACATAGAAGGGGCCCCGAAACCCAAAAGCCGGGTTTCATTTTCAAAGTAATATTTTCGGTTGTTTTTAGGTAACATATGGAAAAAAATACAAATATATGCGATTATTGTGTATTATTCATCAATTGAAGAAATAATTTTATCTGGGCCTGTCAAATAGTATATTGTTGTATTAGGAGTAGAAACTTTACTTTTTTGTGCTGAAGCGGTAGGTTTGCAAGCCTCACTACGTTCGGCTCGCAATACTGCTGAAGCACAAAAAGGTGCTTCTACTCCGTATGCAACACGCTATTTTTTCTCCAAACGAATGTGGTAAGCTCGGGGGTAACTGGATGGTTGAGCGGCAGTAAAAGTACAAGCGGCACTAAAAGTACTTTTACTGCCGCTCCAGCGGCACCAAAAGTACTTTTGCTGCCGCTGGGGTCGCCAAGCAGCATAGAATAGTATATTGTTGTATTAGGAGTAGAAGCTTTACTTTTTTGTGCTGAAGCAGTAGGTTTGCGAGCCGAACGTAGTGAGGCTTGCAATACTGCTGAAGCACAAAAAAGTGCTTCTACTCCGTATGCAACACGCTATTTTTTCTCCAAACGAATGGAGTAAGCTCGGAAGGCAAGTGGATGGTTGAGCTGCATTAAAAGTACGAGCGGCACTAAAAGTACTTCTACTGCCGCTCCAGCGGCACTAAAAGTACTTTTGCTGCCGCTGGGGTTGCCAAGCAGCATAGAAATTAAATTTCTACCACCTCGACAGGTGTTTACCCGCTGGATTTTCCTAGCAGCATAGAAATCAAATTTCTGACATCTTGAAAGGGGTTAACAAAGTGACGTTTTTTCTGACGTTTGGAGAAAAATTAAATTTCTACCACCTCGACAGGTGTAAACCTCCTGGATTTGCCTAGCAACATAGAAATTGAATTTCTACCATCTTGACAGGTGTTGACAAAGTGATGTTTTTTTGACGTTTGGAGAAAATAGTTATTTTTGTATCAAGAGCGCGAAATGCTACTTTGGTGATCGAGATCTGATTTTTTAACGAGGCGCAGCCGAGTTAAAAAAATAATCGAGATCACCAAAGTATTTTGCGCCCGAGTTGCAAACAATATTTTTTCTACAACTCCATTTAAATATCAATCATTCGATGCCAAAATTGCATTTTCAATCAAAGGTAGGTGAATTTTAATTAGTTTTGATTTCCTGACAGGTATGTGTCACCATGACACCCAGTGTGCGAACTAGCTATTTCGCGCACACGTGCGCGAAATAGCTAGTTCGCGCACGGCGTCATGGGAACGTTAAAAAATCAATACCTGGGAAAAAAAGTGTCACTTCGCAAACTGTCATGAGTGTGCGAACATCATCATTTTTTGACAGTTGTAGAAAAATTAAATTTCTATCACCTCGACAGGTGTTAACCCGCTGGATTTGCCTAGCAGCATAGAAATCAAATTTCTGACATCTTGACAGGAGTTAACAAAGTGACGTTTTTCTGACGTTTGGAGAAAAACTTTTTTTTAGGTTCCATTTGGGCGATTAACGTGTTAAGTTTTTTGAAAATTGGTAGAGCGACATTTTTAAATGCAGATAATGACAAATCTTTTCAGGTTGATTTGGTAGGTACCAAAAAGAATATCAAAAGGCATCCAGTGTAATTTATTAGAAACTTTAAAGCCGTAAAGCTTTTTGCTACTCACTAAGTTTAAATTGAGTATATTTCCACTACCTATGTATAAATCATTTTAAGGTCATCTTATTTTGCTCCCTACAAATAAACTCGTACAAATCGTTAATATCCAAAATTCCCAAGGGTACTTCCTTTTTTCGATGTCCAGTACCTAGAAAATTAAAAAAATATTTTATTAATGTCGGCACCATGTTTTTATTGAATATTTGTATTTGATGCGAAAAACTACCACGAAGTATCTACCTTGAGTATCTACAATGACAGCGTAGTTATCCTTTTCTAAAATCCTGGACACCAATCCAAGATTTCCAGTCTTCACATTCACTTTCGGATATATCCGAATGGTGCAATCTTGTACAGCTTGATGGGCCTGTATCTCTTTAGCTAATAACTTGTTTATTAAATGCTTCTGGGTAATTGTTCCTAAAATGTTTCTACAAAGATTACATGAAATACAATTATACTTTGTAGTATGTTTTATGCTTACCCATCCAATTTTAATACAGCAACTTCTTGTATATTTTTATCTTTCATTACCTCCAATACTTTATTGCAAGGTTCGTTTCCTTGAAATGTAGTAATTGGTCTAAATTGAAGATTTTCAACATTGTAATCCCACCAGAAATGATTATTTACATTTTCACATGTCTGAAAGCCTCTAGCCTCCATCCAATGATCTGATACAAACTTAGTTAAATAATTTCGTATACTGTCTGGTATTATTACAACAAGATTTTGTCCTTCCTTTAAATCGACTGCTACCTTCATAGCAGCTGACACTGTAGCTCCACTGCTAGTTCCACAAAGCAGTCCCTCTTCCTTTATGAGCCTTCTAGCCATTATAAGGCTCTCTTCGTCATTAGTTTTCACCCATCGATCTACCACAGTTTGATCCAAAGATGTTGGTACAAAATCATAACCAAGACCTTCAACTTCAAAAAACGTTACATTCGTTTGGTTTAGGGAGTCCGGAATAGCAAAAACGGACCCTTCGGGATCCACCCCGATTATTTTCGTTTTAGGCGAAACTTCTCTAAATTTCCTACCGATACCAGTAATTGTTCCACCAGTGCCAGCACCTACGACAAGAACGTCTATTTTATGATCACATTGATCAAGAATTTCTTCAGCTGTAGTGTCATAGTGGGCTAAAGGATTGCCTGGATTCGAAAACTGATCCAATATAAGTGAATCTGGAATTTCTTTATGAAGGCGTCTGGCAACTCCAAATATGCCATCTGGAGAGTACGAATCTGCAGTGATAGGAGTACGTATTAGTTTAGCACCAAGGGCTCTCATCACAGCTACTTTTTCGTTGGACATTTTTTCGGACATGACTATAATACATTTGTAGCCTTTAATTGCCGAAACCAGCGCTACTCCAACTCCGGTATTTCCCGATGAAGCTTCGATGATGGTCATTCCGGGTTTGAGTAGGCCCTGTTTTTCAGCATCTTCAATGATTCTTTTGGCTATGCGATCTTTAATTGAACCGCCTGGGTTTAAATATTCTAGTTTGGCATCTGAAAATATATGTAGAACTGTAAATCAGATTATGTATTTGAGTAGATTGTTGATTGATTGTCTCTACTACTCACAGGGCTGTGACTCTGCCTAGATGATGATGACAATGACAAATGCACTAAAAAAATAATGCCGAAAATGGCTCAAATTATTTTATTTTACTGTGTGAATTATAGTTTAGTCCAAATTCAGCTACTTAGAATGTTGAAGAAAAAAAATTACATAGAGTTTGAGAATACGGGTAAAAAATTAAATTACCATGTGTATAGTTATGTGTAAATCTATCTTGTCTTGCAAATACTGCACGTGTCCTTTTTTACATGAAAAATAGATTAAATGATGAGGGATATTGAAAGGCACATGATGGTACCCATAAAGCATTTTAATCACCAAGTTTGTTTACGTAGACGGAAACAGTCTAGTGCCAATTTATAGTGATTAATATTGATTAATTTATTGATGTTTTCTTATGAAAATATCTGATATTAGATATATTTTACTGGGGATTAATTAAGTGAAATTGCAAAAGGTCATGTTATTTCGTGATGATTTCATACTACGTTTTTTCACTTACAAATCTTGCATTTCAATCCAGCTTTCTTTGGTATAGAATTCAACTCCACCATTGGAGTATTTCCTATCAAATTCAATACATTGGGGGCTATTTTGTTATTCATTTTCCTGAAAAAATTAATTGAGAATAAATATTTGTGTCCAGTCATTTACATTCTGCTGGCTGAGTTATTGATGTTATCGATATATTATCTTAATCATTCGTAAACAAAGAAGTGAATAGCTACAGCAAAAACTAATTGTTTGAGAGTAAAAATAGGCGAAAAGCATCATCAGGTCATAACTTTGCAAACGAAAAAAAAAAAAAAAAAAAATGTTGATAATTAGTGTAGAGGATACAATATTTTTATAGATGTATTGTAAGACGGTTGCACAGTGTTGAGCAATTTTCTTATAACTTATGTACCATGCTTGTGTTATCTATACAAAAAACCATTGACTACTATACAAAACACGAAATTAAATCAAATAGAATTATTAAATTATATAGTAGGCCAGGAAAAGGGCTAATTATTATGGGTCTAACTTTTTCCAACAAAATTTCTCCTTGGAAGGGGATGTTCCATCCCCTTAAAGGTCGTTTTTTTTTTTTTGTTTTTCCGAAACTTACTGCTTCCGCTACATGTTACAACAAAATACCTTCATAGTAAAATAAAGAGGACTAAATGCTCTACAATTTATCCAGCGACAGCATTTGTCTATCACCCACCCTTAAGCCAGGATGGGGCTCTAAAGGTAAATGACCTTGAGAAAAGATGTTTTGGGAATTATTGTTTTTTTTTTAGTGAACAGTAGAACGAATTTACCACAAACTATGCAGCAAATACTCATAAATAATTGGCCGTTTTTTCGGTATAAGTTTTATTTAAAAACATTCACCCCAAAAAATCCCCACAAAGCATCATTCATTTTTCACGAATTTTCAAACCAATTATCGACTTTCCCCCGTAGTGACTCTCCCAGAACTAACTTGACTGCAATAGTACTATTCTCGAATGTGCTTGAGGGTCAACTCTATAATACTCAAACTTCAAAAAATCCCTACAAAGCATCAATAATTTTTCACGAATTTTCCAACAAATTATCGACTTGGCCCCGTAGTGACTCTCCCAGACCTAACTTGACTGCAACAACTATTCTGGAATGTGCTTAAGGGTCAATTCTATCATCCTCAAACTTCAAAAAATCCCCACAAAGCATCTTTAATTTTTCATGAATTTTCCAACAAATTATCGACTTCTCCCCGTAGTGAATCACCCACACCTTACTTGACTGCAAAAACTATTCTCGAATGTGCTTAGGGGTCAACTTTATCCTCCTCAAACTTCAAAAAATCCTTACAAAGCATCATTATTTTTTCACGAATTTTCCAACAAATTATCGACTTCCCCACGTAGTGACTCTTCCAGACTTAACTTGACTGTAAGAACTAATCTCGAATGTGCTTAATGGTTAACTCTATAATCCTCAATATTCAAAAAATCCTTACAAAGCATCATTAGTGTTTCACGAATTTGCTAACAAATAATCGACTTTCCCTCGTAGTGATTCTCCCAGACTGCATAAACTATTTTCGAATGTGTTTAATGGTTAAATCTATCATCCTCAAACTTCAAAAAATCCCTACAAAGCATCATTAATCTTTCACGAATTTTCCAACAAATTATCGACTTCTTCTCGTAGTGAGTCTGCCAGAACAAACTTGAGAGCAAAAAGTATTATCGAGTGTGCTTAAGGGTCAACTCTATCATCCTCAAACTTTAAAAAATCCTTATAAAGCATCATTATTTTTTCACGAATTTTCCAACAAATTATCGACTTACCCCCGTAGTGACCCTTCCAGACTTAACTTGACTGTAAAAACTATTCTCGAGTGTGCTTAAGGGCCAACTCTATAGACCTCAAACCTCAAAAAATCCTCACAAAGCATCATTAATTTTTCACGAATTTGCGAACAAATTATCGACTTCCCTCCGTAATGACTCTCCCAGACCTAACTTGCCTGCAAAAACTACTCTCGAATGTGCTCAATAGTCAACTCTGTTATCCTCTAACTTCAAAAAATCCCTACAAAGTATGATTCATTTTTCACGAATTTCCCAACAAATTATTGACTTCCCCCCGTAGTGCCTCTCCCAGACCCAACTTGACTGCAAAAACTATTTTCGAATGTGCTTGAGAGTCAACTCTATCATCCGCAAACTTCAAAAAATCCCTACCCTATCATTAATTTCTCATGAATTTCCCAAAAAATTATCGACGTTCCCCCGTAGTGACTCTCCCAGACCCAACTTGAATGCAAAAATTATTCTCAAGTGTGTTTAAGGCCAAGGGTCAACTCGATCATCCTCAAACTTCAAAAAATCCTTACAAAGCATCATTAGTTTTTCACGAATTTGCAAACAAATAATCGACTTCCCCCCGTAGTGACTCTCCCAGCCCTAACTTGACTGCAAAAACTGTTCTGGGATGTGCTTAGCTTATGGGTCAACTCTATCATCCTCAATATTCAAAAAATCCCTACAAAGAATCATTAATTTCTAATGAATTTTCTAACAAATTATCGACTTTCCCTCGTAATGAGTCTGCCAGACCTAACTTGACTGCAAAAACTATTCTCGAGTATGCTTAAGGGTCAACTCTATCATCCTCAAACTTCAAAAAATCTTTACAAAGCATCATTATTTTTTCACGAATTTTAGAACAAAATTATCAACTTCCCCCCCGTAGTGACTCTCCCAGACCACACTTGACTGGAAAAAATATTCTTGAATGTTCTTGAGGGTGAACTCTATCTTCCTCAAATTTCAAAAAATTCCTATAAGCATTATTAATTTTTCCCGAATTTTCCAACAAATTATCGACTTCCCCTCGTAGTGACTCTCCCAGACCTAACTTGACTGCAAAAACTATTCTTGAATGTCCTTGAAGGTCAACTCTATCATCCTCAAACTTCAAAAAATTCCTACAGAGCATCATTAATTTTTCACGAATTTTCAAACAAATTATCGACTTCCCCCCGTAGTGACTCTCCCAGACCTAACTTGATAGCAAAAAATATTCTCGAATGTGCTTAAGGGTCAACTCTATCCTCTTCAAATTTCAAAAAATCTCCACAAAGTTTCCTTAATTTTTCACGAATTTTCGAAATTATCGACTTCTCCCCGTGGTGACTGACTAGTGACTCTCCCAGAGCACACTTGACTAGAAAAAATATTCTTGAATGCGCTTGAGGGTCGTCAAATTTCAAAAAATCCCTACATACCCCAGGGAAATTGGACTTCCTCTGCTGAATGAGGCCGAACAAGCTGAATTTTTGCAGAGACCTTCGTTTTGATGTTCTTATGAAGCACACAAAAATCGAATATGCCTACCATTGTGCTTCTTGAGACATTGAAGGTCAAAGGTCACGAGAATCGGTTTTTTGCGATAATCTCGCTTCCAGTGCATCTGACGTCGAAGAACCCAAAACGAAACTCACGTAAAATAGTATTTTCTACAAAATTGTTCATATACATTTTCTTGTACGATCAACCGTTTTCGAAATATAGCGTGATAAAGCGGGAGCGCGCATTCAAAATAGGTGATGCTGTATTATACAGGGTGTAACCGTTCAACTGGTGAAAAATGCTAGGGTATATAGAGGAACCATAGAGAAGTAATTTGAGATAGGACACCGATGGTCGAAAGTGCGTCGTTTCCAAAATACAAGGTGTTGAAATTTCAACAACCCCTTTTCATATCATCTGAAGGACTAATGCTAGGCTGTTCAACTTTCCAGGAATTATTGATGCAGGAATGATATTTGAAAATTCGTATAATGCACCCCTATTTTCTACCTGGAACCATCCGAAAAAAAAAAACAAAATAAAAAATAAAATTTGAAAAAAAAAGCAATTTATTTCAAATTTTATTTTTTTTTAGGGCGGTTCCAGCTAGGAAATGGGGGTGTATTTTATGAATTTCTAAATATCATTCCTACATCAATTATCCCTGAAAATTTGAATAGCCTAGCATTAGCCCTCCAGATGATATGAAAGGGGGTTGTTTAATTTTCAACACCCTATATTTTGGAAACGACGCCCTTCCGACCATCGGTGTCCTATCTTAAATTACTTCTCTATGGTCCCTCTATATACCCTAGCATTTTTGACCAGTTGAACGGGGACACCCTGTATAATACAGTATCACCTATTTTGAATGCGCGCTACTGCTTCATCACGCTATATTTCGGCAACGGTTGGTCGTATAAAAAAAAATTATATGAACAATTTTGTAGAAAATACTATTTTACGTAAGTTTTGGTTTAGGTTCTTCGACGTCAGATGCACCGGAAGTGAGATTTTCGCAAAAAAACGATTTTCGCGACCTTCGATATCACAAGGGTAGGCATATTCGATTTTTTTGTGCTTCATAAGAACATCAAAACGAAGGTCTCTGCAAAAATTCAGCTTGTTCGGCCTCATTCCGCAGATGGCGCTTTTTTTGGTCTAATTTCCCTGGGGTAACAAAGCATCATTAATTTTCCACGAATTTTTAAAGAAAGTATCGATTTTCACCCGTAGTGACTCTTCCAAACCTAACTTGACTGGAGTAAATATCCCCGAATGTGCCTTAGGGTTATTTCTACCTTTTCCGAATCCCAGAAATTCCCTACATATTTTAATGATTTTATTTGATTCAATTTCGCGGTTTTTTAATTTTTCTTTTCAATAATTATCTTGTCGACTGTAATATACACAAATCTGAATATGAATATGAATAAAGCTAACTTCAGCCACATGTTTTGTTGAATTTTCTGGATGTGCTTTACGAAAAACTTATTGATTGAATAACAAAAAAAGATCTATCACCAATCTACTGGGTGCTGACGTACAGGGTGGTGCGTTTATTTTGTCCTATCTTGGTATATGGAAATCGAGATATTTTATGACAAAAAGTTTTATACAAAAGTTGTTGGGTTCATATCATTAATTTGTTTTTTTGTATTTGCGCATATACAGGGGAGCAAAAAAGTGTGACACATCAGCTTTAATTTTTTTTAATAGAACACCCTGTATATTTTCATATTTTGTGAATGCGCTTTCAAAGACAAATATAAATACAGGGTGGAATTTTTAAATGGAATAAATTCAGTATCAAAAAGCCTGTTAATTTTTTGGAAAAATAAAAAAAAAACGGGTCTCTTTATTTTTAGTTTGGCACATTTTTTCGGCCTTTTCAAGGAATTTACCCCTCTCTTAAGGGTAGAAACCACCCCCAACTTTTTTTTTCAAATGTAAAGATATGTATTGTGATAGCTCGTTGAAATGGGCATAAAAAAAGGAAAATTACCCATTATTTACTTTTGCATTTCGCTGATTCAGAAAGCGAGAAAAAAATAAAAACATATTTTTCCACACAATTTTTTTACAATTAAAATTGTTGAATATCTTCAGCATTTCTTCTTGGTAGAACCCTAATGCGAAACTAGCCCCATTTGTAACGTTATGTAATTACTTATGACGTCAACGCACTATTTGATGCCTGATACTCGGATTCTCAACCCTAAAATAGTGTGTTAATGTCAAAAATAATTACATAACTAGATCACCGAAATGCAAAAGTAAATAATGGGTCATATTCCTTTTTTTATGCCCATTCCAACGAGCTATCACAATACATATCTTTACATTTGAAAAAAAAAGTTGGGGGTGGTTTCTACCCTTAAGAGAGGGGTAAATTCCTTGAAAAGGCCGAAAAAATGTGCCAAACTAAAAATAAAGTGACCCGTTTTTTTAATTTTTCCAGAAAATGAACAGGCATTCTAATACTGAATTTATTCCATTTAAAAATTCCACCCTGTATATATAGTTTGATAGGGTTGTTATGCAGGGTTTCAGATGCATTAACGGTTATCTTCGCTAATTTTTAGATTATTGTAGAAACAGACGTTAAAAATAAATATTTTAAAGTCGGATTTTGACCAAAGGGAAACATAAAATAGTAGATTATACCACGAGTCAATAATGATAGCTATTATTCCCGAGGATTATTACGAACTGAGCCGCGTTAGCGGCGAGGGAGTAACATTCCGAGGGAATAATAGCCATTATTGCGAGTAGTATACTCTACTTTATTTACGACAAATTAATTTATTTGAGATTTTCAAATTTCATCCGTCTCATAATTTTCAATACAAATCTACAAGCACTACACGTTTGACACTGACACTTTTGTGGAATAATGACCATTAATTCCGCTACTCGCCATTAATCCCTGGAGGAATAACATATGTCATTATACTGCCAAAATCACAAATATAATACGCACATTATACATTAGTCGTAAATAAACAAACAAATTAATGATTTAAACCCTACAAATTTTGTAAAACTTTTTGTTATAAAATATCTAGATTTCCATATACCGAGATAGGACAAAATAAACGGGCCACCCTGTACATATTGTCAAGCCAAAGAATAACACCCTTTATAATATTAAATATTCAATAGTAATATAACGAGTGTATTTGAAATTATCGATAATTTTTGGGAAATTTGCCCGAATGCACTTTTAGTTGAAAAAGAGCACGAGTGGACGTAGTGCACGAGTGCCTTTTTTTGTTAAAAACGCATGAGTGCAAATTTGTCGAAAATTATAGATACATTTCCAGTGCTCGAGTTGTATTTTATGAGAGAATTTCATAAATCAAAAATTATCATTTTTTGTCAAAAAATTTCAAAACACGAGTTCTCGCACCAGTTACTATGCAATTATCCGATAATTTGCACTAGTGCAAATTATCGCGTAATTCCAATCTGATTGGTTCAAATCAACAATCAAAACATGACAGTTTATTGTTGGAATATCAGTTTTGACAGATTATGAAATTCTCAGACTGATTCGAAAGTTCATTGACATGTCGTATTGTTCTAATTTAGTTTCCTGTACTTGTACAACAGGATAAACGATAATTACCAATATTGAGCAATACTGGCATTGCAATGAATAACTAGATGCATCAGCCTATCAGCAAAAAACTTGGTGCAACGACCAAGTTTGTGGAACCAATAATTTCTTGCTGACAATACGAAATCGACTTGGATCCATAATTCGATCAATTGTAAATCAGGTTACATTAAAGTCGTTAAATGATTTACCGCTGGAAATCCATTTTTCTGTAGCTAATGTTGCCCGAACTTTTCTCGCGCCCGATAACCCGGCTTAAGCTTTATTCAACTTTAGCTTCAAGACCCAACTAACTTAGTAAAGTCAAATTTTTGATCCAAATCGATTTCGTATTGTCAACAAGAAACTTGGGTCGTTGAACCAAGTTTTTTGCTGATATGCTGATGCTTTCGAATTAGTCTGAATATTTAATATTATGAAGGGTGTTGTTATTCTTTGGCTAGACAATATTAACAACTGCTCTGTAGTGGATTTTTTGAAATTTACCAAGTTTACATCACCACTCAAACTCAGTAGTTATAACTTACCAATCTTGTTCTGTATGAGGAAACGCCGCTCCTTTTTTTCTAGCCTCCTCCGTCCAAGTACACTTTCTAGGAGCATCGGGAATAACAAATTGTTCGCCATTTATAGGTGCCACATAAACTAAATGTCCTTCTGAATCTAATGATAATAATTGAGATGTGGGCTGGTGCCCATTGTTAGTATTGTTAGGACAACCCGAACCGTTCATTGTGCTTTTATTTTCAATTAAAACTGAATAATGTCTCCTCGTGAGAAATGGAGCCGCTTTTATTTTTAGTTTTCTCGCCTTCGTGTTGACCTGTGTAAATATTTCGCGATGAGATAGATATAATGGATTAAGTTGCAAGTTATACTGCACGGAAGAAATTAGAACGTTGCAACAAATGCATCTGTTTTTATGTTGGATGGTCGAAATTTAGACGGGCAGTGTTCAAAACTGACTACTGCACTATCATTAGCCAGACTAAATTAATATTTAAGATGTTTTTTGACAAAATTACTTATCAGGATTAAGCTGGAACACATTTTAGTAAATTACGATCCAGCTGTAAATCATTTTTAGGTTTGGATAAGGACAGATCAATAGCATTAATTATAGTTCTTAGCATGACATTTTTGTACCTATTTATTTTATAATGACTGAGCTGAATTCAGATTGCTATTAAAGATTACTATTGACATTATTCCATTCTTTGCCCAAATGCGTCTAATGGCATATCATGTGGAAGCCATATAACTGTCGATTATTCAAAGCAATTGAAAAGTATAAGGATAGATTGCATTAATTGCGGCATTCTTTGTTGAAGAATCTGACAAGAATTTTGTCAGTATGAAAGAAGTTTTAGAAGATTCACTTGGCATTAAGTTATGAAAAAAGTGAATGGTTACAAATGTTTAAGATTAGAATTCAATAAGGCAGCAACAATTAGCAACAACATGCAACGAAATATACAAATAAATAAATTCAACTACACAGAGCTTAAAAAAAGCAAACTAAAAGCTAAAGAAATAAGGTAAGAATTTTCTCAGTATGCTGGTTCGATTTTTTTATTCAATTGCCAGCAGTTATTGTATTTAATACCATTATAAAAGGTGTGTGTCTGTATTCCCTTAGGAAGGACGAAGGGTGACAAAACTCATAACTACCAATTTCCGTTAGACTAATAGATTTAGGAAATGGAGAGGAAGGAAGGAGCTGACATTTTCATTTTCGATATTTCATAGGGAGGTTTATCATCAGCCAGGAATATCAGTAGTGTACCAAGCGAACCTCCGATAAACAAAATACTTTCGAAAGTTAGCGAACATTTGAATATTTCATTCTTTAACCCGATGTAATCTTTCCAGAAAGAGATATTCCGAAGATATTGTTTGCATTTCAGGAATAATTGAGTACCTTTTAAGCAAAGGACTCTATATGAGCGTGAACGCCCAAGTACTTTTCGCTTTGACATTAAAGTTTTTGAAAATAAACGCCCACCTTTCTCATGTGGTTTATGAAAATCCCTCTGGAAAGGTCAAGGTGAACTTTACCCATATTAAAGTGGATGAAAATATGATTTTATAGTCAGAGTTTGATAGAGACTTAAAATGTCATCAAATTTTAATATGTTCTTTTTTTTTTGATCTAGTTATAATCCTAAAATAGAAAAACATAAGATTATGGGGTTTCAGGGTAGAAAAAAGCTCACATCACATAAAATACCTATATAAGTTATTTATTTTCCAAAAAAAATTTTGATACGAGGGTTTACAATTTTCATCTAGACAAAAAAAATTTGCACATTAGTTAACAACAAAGAGACACCATACAATGGAAGTAACCCGATATTGCTTTTGTAAATCAATACTAATCTTTCTCTTTCGCCTATTATTATCAACCTATCAGGTAACCTTAATACGAGTATTATGTACAGGATTTATAATATTAACAAAATTAAAGCTAACGTACTGAATAAATTGTTTTAACAATTAAGTAATCACATTCTCACTTTTATATTTTAATGACTATATACAACAAAAACACATTTTGAAGAATCCGGCATATTCTTAATTGCAACCTTATGTTTGTTTCAATAAGTACCTACCTATAAGAAATAATAAATTCATATTTGAAATTGTTCCTCTAATATGACTTATTTTCAAGAAAATCTGATTTCCGACTAATTTCCTTGTTGAAACACACAGCTCTAGTTCTATATCTTTGGACATAAATAAAAAAATTAAGGCTGAACCTCACACATGAAGTAAGTTTCGAACGAACAAGGCGAATCGTTCCATTTCAGTCCTTTGCCGTCTCTGTTCCAGAGTTCCAGGCAATTTTCTTGCTCGCCATTCTCGTATTCGAAATTATTTGGTTCGCCAGCGTTCCAGTTGGTGAAAGTGATCGGTCGGCCAGTGGACATCCAGAAAAAGTTACCTTCTTCGGCTAAGTCGGTACCGGAGGTCCAAAAATGTTCATTACCAAATCCTGAAAAAATATCCTTTAATATCTCAAAACTACACTTTAAACATTATTATTATTGAAGGGGGGTGATTCGTCGGTTAGGACAAAAAATAAAAGGTCTGTTAAGTCTTTACCAACGTTTCGCCCAAAAGTTTAGGGCTTCATCAGGGCTAAAATATATATTAGGAACATCAAAAAAGTGCTAACAAAAAAGGAAGTTTAAGCGCCATCTAAAAATAGATAGGTCTATACAGTTTGTATTCGTTGGTATCTATGATCGTGGTTGGAGAGTATTTGTAGTATGGTGTTTCGTCTGTGATGAGTTTATATGTTTTTGCGAGTGCTTGATGAATAATTTTCCCTGCCATATTGTGTCTTTCGGTGTATTCTACACCCGCTAATATTTTACATCCACCAGTGATATTATCTATGGTTTCTTTGGACTGATTACATTTTCTGCAGGTGTCGGTACATACGTTTGAGTCTTTTATTATGTATTTTCGGTAGTTCCGTGTAGCTATGATTTGATCTTGTATTGCGAGGAGAAATCCTTCTGTTTCAGGGAAGAGGTTTCCATTTTCGAGCCATTTATAAGAGAGTTCTTTTGATATGTGGTCGTGTTGTATGTTGTATCTGTGTTTTCCATGTAGCTGTTTTGTTGTCTATATATTAAGTTTTTCCTCTATATTTTGTGTCTGGTTGAATGTATCTGATGAATGACTGGTTGTGGATAAATCTAAGGGTGTGTAGTTTTTGTCGGCTTTGCAGACTGCTTGGTGTAGTGGTGTTTGTTTCCCAAGGAAGAATATCCGAAGTTGTTGGATTTGTTTTGTGTGTAGCGCTCGAATATCTATCGCCTCTTCCTCCTTCCTTTCTGCTGATTGTTACTCTTTCTTTGCAGGAGTTAGGATGTAGTTTTCTGTGTCTGATGAGCTCTGATCTAGTGAACCTTCTAGGTCTGTTTGGCTCCATTTAATTATACCATTTGCAAAGAAGTATGTAAGTATTGGTATTGCAAATGTATTAATGGCTTTGAAGAGGTTATTTAAATACAGTGGCGTTCTTAATACGGCTCGTAATCTTTGTTTGTATTCCTTCGTCAATTGCGTTTTTATATATGTGTGGTTTATTCTGCTGTTTTGTTGGAATCCGAGGTATTTATATGTTTCGTTTTCCGTCATATTGCCCATTATCTCATTGTTCAATGTTTCTCCCTCTAAGCTTTCTTTCCATTTTTCCCTTTCTATATGTAGTATTTTACATTTACTCATACCAAATTGCATTTGTATGTCCGTTGTAAATTTTTCTGTGATCTTGAGGAGTCCTTTAAGTTATGTTGATGTTGAAGCGTACATTTTCATGTCGTCCATATATAGGAGGTGGTTAATTTTAGGTTGTGCTACTTTTCTATTTTTCAAGTTTAAGCCGTATTGGGAGTCATTTAGTGTGTTCGAGAGTGGATTTAGGCACATGCAGAACCATAAGGCACTCGTGGATCACCTTGGAAGATACCTCGTCGGATGTATAGTTCATCTATCTGTAGGGTTTCTGATTCTGATGTTATTTTCATTATTTCTGTCAGGAATTGTTTGAGCTTTGTATCTACTCTAGGTGTCTAAGATTTTTATTAGCCAGCTATGAGGTACGGAGTCAAAAGCCTTTTTATACTCTATGTAGCAGGTGTGTAAATTTCTGCGTTCTTTTTCGGTTTGTTTTAAAATGACCGAGTCTATTATTAATTGCTCTTTACATCCTTAGCTGAATTTTCTGCATCCTTTTTGTTCCTCTGTGAGTATGTTATATTGCGCTAGATGTTTTTCTATTTTTTTACATATGGTAGTTGTAATTATTTTGTATAGTGTAGGTAAGCATGTTATTGGTCTGTAGTTAGCTAGATTCTTTGTGTCTGCTTTTTTCAGTTTAATATATGTATTGCCCTGTGTTAGAAATTTTGGGAATGTGTTTGGGTGGCAGATGCTTTTATTTATTTCTCTGGTTAGTGCTTTGTGTGTGGATGTGAGCTGCTTGTACCAAAAATGTTGTATTTTATCTGGTCCTGGGCATTTCCAATTGCGAGTATGTTTGATGGTCTCTAAGAGTTTTTCTTCTGTGATGTGATGGTCTATTTGTGTTTGTATGTGATTGTATCTTTCTGTTTCTGTTTTGATCCAGTTATTGCTATCTCTGTCCTGTAGAGGTACACCCCATATGTTTGACCAGAAATCTGTTAGTTCTTGCTTAGTAGGTATCTCTATTATGGGCTTGTCTTCCTGTGGTAATATGGTTTTATAAAAATGCTTTTATAAAAATGCTTTTATAAAAATGCTTTTCGTTTCTTTTGAATGCTATATGTTCGTATTTTTTCTGTCGTTGGACTCTTTATATCTCCGTAATCTGCCGGCGTAAACAGCAAGTTTTTGTTTCATGTTGTCGAGAGTTTCAGGTTCTGTTAGTGTAGCGTTATTTCTCATTCTCTTCCTCATTGTTTTTTTTAATTTTTCCTGATGTATCGCCCTTTAAGTGTTGAGTCATGTGGCCTATATCTTTTCTTAGATTTTCAATTTTATTTTCTATTCTAGTTTGCCATTTCGGTTTATGTTTATCTCTTGTTTTCCTGTTTGCTGTGATATTTTCTGGTCGTTATGCTTGATTATTGTGATTGCTGCTGTGTATATGAGCGTTTGGATGTTTTCTAATGAGCTATTGTGTGTTAGGTATTTAGAAATTAGAGTGTTGGTTGTGCTGATAATTAGGGATCTTTTAGGTTTAAATATGAGCCTTGGGATAGGGTTTCTTAGGTTTCCATTTCTTGATTGAGTGTCTCCTCTAGCTGTAGGTTTTCATATACTATTGGGTGTATGAGTACTTTAGATGTGTTGTAACCCCAATAATATAGCACAGCAATAATTGTAGGTATTAACATTTGATTATTCTTATATTTCTAATTTGTTTTATTGTAACCAATCTATTTTGCAGAGAGGCCGACGATGTCTTTGTCGGCCCAATATTATCATACCGACTTTCTTTTATTGTCCGACCCTTAGTCCCTCAGGTTACGTCATCGTCCACACTTGCACAAACTTTCTAAGTAATATAGTACCTAATAAATAGCTTTTAGCACATTCATAAACTTTGTAAAAAGGATAAGTTAATTTTAGGAAATTGTAAGTTTGGACCTTTCGAAAGGTCCAAACTTGTCTGCCTGGGTGGAAGATAGTTGAAGAGAAGGACATTCAGACTTCCATCTTCACGCTGAAAACATAACATTCAGATTTCAAGCTTCGCTCTGAACAGTCGGGTTGCCTCTCAATTTTTGTAACTAAGTGTCCCCCCTCAACGAGAATTTTAATAAACGAAGCATTTTTATTCAATAACCGAGTTTTAATTATCGAAGTACTCAACATTCGTGGCATCGACCAAATTCCCAATTCCTAACATTGGTGGCAGCGGTAAACCGATTCCCAACATTGGTGACAGCGATTCCTAACAGATGGCTGAGCTATTAGTTGTATTTCGTCAATGGTATCTTTTGTATGTTCTGGCATTTCAATATTCAAATTTTTTTCTCCATTATTATCAATAATATCATTGAGCTCCTCAGCGACTTTCCTCTTTATCATTGCAAGTTCTACGGCTGTAAGTGTATTATTTTTCAAAACTACCCTTTTTTGATCTATTAGGCGTTGTTCTGTCACAATTTTTGTTAGTTCTGGGTAAGTTTCGAGGAAGAGTTTGTGTAATTCGTGTCTGTATCCTGTTTCGATGGTTTCCAATTTGGTTGTTTTGTAGTAAGAACGCATGACAGTTCTATTCATTTGTTCGTTCCATGTCATTCGTTGACGTGTTATGCCAGCTTTTGTGGTTGCTGGGACTCCAGGCAAAGCAAGTTTGGCTGGTGTACCATTTTGTTCTTCGTTTTGAATCACTGATAGGGATATTGCGGTTTGTATCGTATTCTGGTTTAAGTAGTTCGAAATGTCCTGCTGACGGATTGCCAATTAGTAATAGATGTATAGTACTTTGGTTTGATTTATTTATAATCGTTGGTTTGGTCTCTATTGTTATTCTTTTTGATTTCGTTGTTCTATTTTTCGAGTACCTATACAAGAAAATTAAGTTTTAATATTTCTGACAGCGCTAAGATTTCCAGACTTAGACTTTTCTCTTTACTCTTTGTGTTAATCTTGATGGTCATACAAAAATTTGCTCACTGCTCTGAAGAGACAACTTCCATCTCCAACAATATCCACTCTCAGGAAGGTTGTTGTTTCTTTGTACTGATTGTTATTGAGAATAAGGTTGAGGTCGGCTGTAGGTTTTTGAATGACAGTAGCCCGCCTGTTCAGCTTCCTGTCACCGACGTCCCGCAAGCTGTCGAGTTTAGCGTCGGCTCCAAACCCGCCCTGGCGATCCCCAGGCAGCGACTTGTTTACATTATTATTATTCACCATATTTTCATTATTATTATTATTATTTTTCAATTTAGATAATATGATTGGTATTATTTCGACCCTATCCATATTGTGCATTTCTTTATATTCTCGTTTTAACTCTTTTGGAGTGGATAAATGCCAGGTTGTGTCGGTCATCAAAGGTAAACTCAGTCATGGAAATCCTATGCAGCTGGATGAGAGCACTGAAATATCTTCAATGGAAGATACGCCTTTCTCAATTTTTTCATTTGTTTTCAGGTCCAGGTTGTTGGTGTTTGGAATGGCGATATCTATAAAGTAGGTAAGGTTTGTTTCACCAGGGTTCATACTTGACCTTGAAACTTGAAAAAAAAAGGGTTGTCGTAGATTATTTCATATGACACATTCATTTTTTTTGACAAATTAAAATGAATGCCTTCTGGTTTAAGAACCGACGAACGTTTTTGACGTGATTGATTTGTTTCAGTCAATTTCTATTTGTTAAACAAGGAAGGCAAATGCTGGTGGCAAGTACAAACCCTGATGAAACAAACTTTAGGTATTTTTTATTTTTTTGTCGATGAGCACGATATCGGGCCTGTTGTGTCGCACTTCAATGTCCGTAATGATTGTTTTATCCGAGAGTAGTTTTATGTTCTCATTTTCTATTACCGACGACGGTTGGTATTTGTAGTATGGGCTTGGATTTTCAATGGGTAAAGAGTGTTTCTTCGCAATTTCCTGGTATATAATTGCAGCTGCTTTGTTGTATCGCTCAATGTATTTATTTCCAGCTAGTTTTGTGCATCCTGAGAGAATGTGTTCGATTATATCTTGCTGTTGGTTGCATTTGCGACATTTGTCATGCGCGCTATTTTCTTTTAAAATGTGTTTGGCGTAGCTTCTTGTTTTGATCACTTGGTCTTGTATCGCTATCACAAATCCTTCAGTTTCTAGCATAAGATAATCAGCTCTCAACCATTCCAATGATGCCTGCTTGTCCACGTTATCTCGGTTGAGATCTCTGTGGTACCGGCCATGAAGCTCTTTCTCAGCCCATTCATCAATCTTGTCGTCATCACTTTGGCTTTTAATGGTTGATTCTTCTGGGTTGCTCAGATTCAGTGGAGTACACTTTTCATCGGCGATTCTCATGCTGTGGAACAAGGTTCCGTTTCTGTGCTGGAAGTACCTACGCAGACTTTGGATTTGAGCACTGCAAGCTGACGTCAGATCCTTTAGCCCTCTTCCCCCTTGGTTTCTTGGCAGAGTTACGCGCTCCATGGATGATCTTGGGTGGTGCATTCTAAATTTAGATATTTATTCGAGTGCGTATAAGGGTGGGTATTATAAAACTGCTTTGACAGTTAACTTGAAGTTAACTTCTACACCATTTCAACCTCAATTTCGGAAAAAGTAACTTTTATTTAGGAAAATGTAAAGTCATTTTCGGAAAAAGTCAAATCAATTTCAGAAAAGGTAAAGTTAATTTTGGAAAAAGTAAATTCAAATTCGGAAAAAGTAAATTCAAATTCGGAAAAACTACATTCGATTACGGACAAAGTAATGTTATATTTCGAATAATAATTCGAATTGATAAAAAGTAAATTTAGCAGTGACTATAAACTCCAGTCGAACCCGTACCCTGACGGGTTCAATTCCAATCAGTGTACTTTAATTAGGTTCTACATATATTGGTTCTTCATTATTTTGTAGGTCTGATGATGCTCATATGAGCGAAACACATATGTCACTATTAAGTGAATAAAATAATAAACAATCTGTAGACTTGGTAATTCTTTTCTTTGTTTTATTATTCAAAAATCAGGTCTCTCTGAGAAATATGGAAAAAAAATTTGATTTTCTGATTAGATAAATGACTCAATCAATTCAAATTAGTCTATAAAAAATAACATTACTTTCTCCGTAATTGAATGTATTTTTTCCGAATTTGAATTAACTTTTTCCGAATTTGAATTTACTTTTTCCGAAATTAACTTTACTTTTTCTGAAATTGATTTGACTTTTTCCGAAAATGACTTTATATTTTCCTAAATAAAAGCTACTTTTTCCGAAATTGAGGTTGAAATGGTGTAGAATTACATGTAATTCAAGAAGTTAACTTCAAGTTAACTGTCAAAGCAGTTTTATAATACCCGCCCTAAGCCTGTTAATGTTGTCTAGTTCCGTTGTAGTCCAATTGATGACACCAAAAGAATATTCGAGGATTGGAATGGCATAGCAGTTAATTGCTTTAGTAAGATTTAAGGAGTTTAGCTTTGTTTTAAGCAGGGAATGCAGTCTTACCTCAAATTTCCTGGTTAGATTTTCTTTGATCTGTGTATGCTCTATTCTGTTGGTTTGCAGCATCCCAAGGTATTTATAAGGCGTATCTTCCATTGAAGATATTTCAGTGCTCTCATCCAGCTGCATAGGATTTCCATGACTGAGTTTACCTTTGATGACCGACACAACCTGGCATTTATCCACTCCAAAAGTCATGGATATATCGCTACTGATCTTGTGTACTAGCTTCAATAGCGATTCAATATGGGGTTTGGTGGAGGCATACAATTTGAGAGATCATCCATGTACATACAGAAGATGATTGACAAGTTGGTGTCGCCCATCCGCTTTTAGTTTGAACCCATAGTTTGTTGAATTGAGGGTTCTGGAAATTGGGTTTAGAGCCAGACAAAACCATAAAGCGCTGAAAGAGTCTCCCTGGAATATTCCTCTATTGATGTTGATTTTTGATATTTCTATCTGGTGTTCTTCAGTCTTGATACTTTAGAGTTGTATTCCAGTTTTTCATGGTATGTTCGAAAAAATTTAGAATTTTTGGATCGATATTATATATCTGTAGTACCCTCAAAAGCCACTCGTCCGGGACTGAGTCGAACGCTTTCTGGCAATCAACATAAGCCATGTAAAGATTGCGGTTTTTACGCGTCGCCTGCTCTAATATTATGGAGTCAACGATTATTTGTTCTTTACATCCCATAGCTTTTCTTATGCACCCTTTTTGTTCCACAGCGAGTGTTATTTGATTCGAGGTAAGTATAGACTTTGTTACTGATAAGAGCTGAGATAATTTTATATAGAGTTGGAAGGCATAATGATCGGCCGGTATTTTGCAGGGCCTTTAGTAGCCTCGCCTTTTGGGATTAAATATGTAATTCCCTCCGTCAGAAACGGCGGTAGATCAGCGGGTTATGTATAACACTGTTTATTTTTTGAATTAGGTAACTATGTGTGGCGTTCCGTTTTTTATACCAGAAGTTTTGTATTCCTTCTTTACCTGGTGCTTTCCAATTTGCTAACCTTTTTACAACTTTCTCGAAATCTTCTCTGCTCACTATCATTTCCTCCATTCTTTGGTCTCGAAATTGCTCAGCTTCTTTGCGAATCCATTCATGACTTTCTACCTTTTTGTCCTGTTTAGACCAGATATTTTTTCAGAACTCCGCAAGACTTGCCCTTGTAGGATATTCGTCTTTTTTAGCAGATGTATTTTTATTGATTTTTCGGTAAAACATCCTCTCACTTGCTGCAAACTCTTTATTTTGTGTTTTTCTTTGGTAGCTTTCATTATATCTTCGTAATCGTTTCGTGGAAGCCGCCAATTTTTGTTTCAAAGTGTCCAGGTGGTCAGTGACTTTGTTTTTGAGTTCTTCTGCTGTTTTGTTTTTAATTTCATTTCGAAAACTTTCTGTAATTTTTCGAATTATCTTGGTGTTTGCTGGGTTTTTCATTATTATTATTATTATTATTATTATTATTATTATTATTATTATTATTATTATTATTATTATTATTATCACTCATCAACCGTGTGCATTCGGCGTTTCTCTTTTTATCAAAAACAATCCCTGTTCCTTAGAATAAATGGTCTACGTCTCCTTATCCTAGAGCTCGTCGGATTATGTGGGCTGTCTCCAGAAGTGTAGTTTTTTGTAGCGTCGTGATTGTGTTGTTGTTGCCAGGTATCTTGCCTAAAGACTCTTCGAAGTTATTGTGGATGGTTCCTGTTGCGCCAATTTTGATAAGGATGATAGTTGTTTTGAGCCCCCACATTCTCTGTACTTCTATTTGTAGGTCTCGGTATTTGAGAATCTTTTCAGATTCCTTTTCCTTGCATCTGATAGGATGGCAACGTCGATTAATAGACAGGTTTTATTTTTGAGATTTTTAATTATTATATCTGGCTGGGTGGGGGTACTTGCAACAGTGGCACAACTTGCAACAATATTCATCGGGTGGAATTTTTGCTTTCCCCCTCCTCTCGCTTGAGTCGCAAGTCAACCGCTAACGTGTTACCGTTAAGTACGGATCAGTAGGTGGAAATGTGAGTAGGTTTAGCGTTGAAAAATTTTAAACACGAAAAATTTGGCGCCATTTTCTGACAGCTCTGATAAGTGCTCTAAATTGTTGCAATATAACTTCTGTGCAGAGCTTATTTACCCTAGGATTTGTATCAAATTTGGATATGATGTGCATGAATGCTTAGTCTAAAACATTGAATATCTAGTTTTGAGTTAAGTTTGAAAGTTTTCGTAAATAGATTTTTTTTTAAATTGCATGTACAAAAGTGGGTAACTTGCAACATGCCTCGCAAATACAAAAAACAGTTAGGGAGTAGGACCTACCGTAATTATTCCAACGAAACTTAAGGCCGTTTTACAGCTTGCAATTCTTTCTGCAATATGCAAGAAACTTGAACGAGGGCATGCGCAGAAGTGAGTCAGCTGATTGGTTTCTGCAAGATTCTTGAAACTTGAATGGCATTGCATGCAATCGGTTTGGTGCCATTTTTCTTGAAGGTTTTCATGCAAGCTGGGGAATTTTTAGCAATATAGGATGCTTAAAGTTGCTGCTATTGCTTTCTTCTTTTTATATCGACTTATAATCACTTTTTTTATTTTTGGAAAATGCAGATATCAACAACACAACATTAAAAAAAAAAGTATGGTTAAGGTTAGAGAAAGCAACAAGTCAAATTGCAAGGTCTAAAACGACGTGCAAGAAATCTTGAATGCAATTTTTTTGCATGCAAAAAATGGCATTCAAGTTTTCTTGCAAGCTGTAAAACGGCCTTTAGGAAAATGCGTTAAGGGCCATCGAAAACGGATCAGGGATTCGCAAGAATTCGGGATTGACCCATCAACGCTTTCTCGGAAAAGAAGAAACTTGTTTCCCCTTGATCCTGGTAGGCAGCCTGTATTTCCAAAGGAAGAGGAGGAAAAATTGACCAAAATTGGCCAAAATTAGCCAAATTTATTTTTTTTAAATATTTTGTGTTGCAAGTAAGTTAACACGCGTTCCTAAATACAATTACTACTGAAAAAAGCCACTTGTTGCAAGTATCCCCTTGCAGGTGTTCAACTTGCAACACCCAGTTTTTTAAAAAAATATATATCAAATAATAATGTTGTTCAAAGTTTTTTGTTAGAATCGGATACTAGACCACAAGACTAAAATTTTGGCACCAATTAGGTCAAATTCAACAAAAAAATAAATAAGGTATCGGCAAAAGAATTTTGAAAATGTTGCAACTAACCCCACTTTACGGTACTTTGGTCGTTCAAGATATTCTTTTCTGGCAAGAGCTGGGCATCCAGTAGAAATGTGCTTGATTGTTTCGTCATATTGTTTACAGAGTCGTTTTTTGCATATAGTTTTGAGTCGTCGACGTAAAAGAGAGGATTGACGGGCTGCTTTTTCCTCTCTAGTACGTATCTTCTGTTGGTGCTGTTTAGCTCATTCGAGAGCGGGAAGAGCGCCAAGCAGAAAATAAGAGGTGATAGTGAGTCTCCCTGGAATATGCTGCTTTTGATGTCAAATGCCTTTTGATAGTCTATCCAACCCATGCTCAGATTTCTTTTCTTTCTCTTAGCGTCGTCTGTTATAATTTTGTTTAGAATAAGATGGTCTCTGCACCCGTAACTGTCTTTTCTACACTCTTTTAGCTCATTTGGGACAATCCCATTTGTTTCTAGGTTCTCGTAGAGTCTGTCGCTTATTATAGCGGTTAGGTTTTTGTACATGCATGGTTGTTATCCTATGGGGACTGGAACGCTCTCCATCAACTCTCACTTGGAAAAATCTATCTTCTAGCAGATCCTTGATCAAGGCAAGCAACTTTCCTCTAACTCCAAAGTGCTCTAATTTCACTAATAACAGGTTATGTGGGACTTTGTCAAATGCTTTTTCATAATCTAGATAGATAACATCTGTTGGTAGGCCATTGTCATTGTTGTTTGTCCAATTATTTAGACATTCCAAAAGATTGGTAGTGGTAGAAAGTTTTGGCAGAAATCCATGTTGGGCTGAAGGTATGAGATTGTTCTCCAGAAAGAAAGATATTAGATCCTTACCTATAATTTTCTCCATACATTTCAGCGGGTTACAAGTAAGACTAATAGAGCAATAATTTTCTGGTCTATGTCGATCTTCTTTTTTTAACAGTGGCGTGACAATGGAATATTTCCAAGGTTGTGGAATTTTTGTTCGAAGCATACATTCCTGCATCACCCCCGCAAGCAATGGGCTAATTAAGGCACTACAATTCTGAAGTAAAACTGTTGGGATTGCATCAGGTCCTGAGCTTAAGTCTTTTTTTATACATTTCAGAGCTTTTTCTACTTTATCAGTTGTAAATTTTATTTCTTCGATAGACCTCCCCACTCCATTGTCATGCAGAGCTGGAGCCAGATCAGCTTCAGTTGTAAAAACTGTGTCCAACTGCTCTGCAAATTTCTCTGCCATGGCTACACCATCCAAAAACTGTTCAGATGCAGGATCTTTCAAAGTTATGATTGATACCTTGGAATTCAAGTTTCGACCCTTAAGTATACTTAACCAGTTTTTTTGGTGAATCCGCATTCGCAAGACTATTTTCATACTTTTTCCGGGCATCAAGCAACTTCTGCTTAGTTTTGTTACTCTAACATGCATAATCTACGTTTCTTATCTATGTCCCTGAATAAATAATGGTTTATCCACGGTTTTTATGGGTTAAATTTTACTGGCTTGACCGGTATGTATTTCTCCACTGCATCTCTCATAACACACTGGAAGTTCTCGAATTGTGGATCTACTTGTCTTGTTGATTGGAGTCTGATGAAGTTATTTATTTCCTCATAATTGGCAGTTAGAAAATTTCTTCTAGTTATTTTTTATGTTTGTTTAGGTGGAATTTTTGAATGTGTTTTCGCCTTAATCACTACATGATCACTGCGGCTAATGGGACGTTCTGTAGAAAGATCAAAGATGCTTTTAGGATTATTAATGAGAAAAAGATCCAGAAGTGATATCTGATTATTCCTGTACCTTGTTCGAGAATTCACATTTGATGCACATTTGTTCCAAGATACATGTCCATAAAATCCTGTGTTTTTTTATTTGGAGGAGCAATTATATGGTTTTTCCAATTTATGTTTGGGTAGTTGAAGTCTCCCACAATATAAATGGGGTGGTTTCGGGTGTAGGCCTTTTTTTATATGTTATTAAAAAGCTTTAATTATAATCGTTTTTTTACAAGAAAATAATTTATGTTAAATTTGACATATAGGTAATATTTGCATGATTTATATCAATCTATAATTAATACCTACTAAAGTATTGAACAATTCTCTAATGGAGCAGAACATTTGAACTATTTAAAGCAATATGTTAATTGTAGCTTACTTTCCGTTTTATTAACAACTTTTTTATTATTAAATGTTTAAAGAAACTTTCACGAATTGTATAGCTTTCCCCTTGGGCTAAGTACTGTTATTTTTTAGCATATACCACCAATCTTCCTTGATATATGAAAACTTAATTATTATTGATGAAAAAATAGAAATTTGTAGAACATCCATTGACGTTGGAATTGTTATTAATTTTTCTACAATAACTATTGCAATCCTCATCTTTATTAGTGTAAAATTCATTTAGAACGGTGTCAAGGTTTCACATATGCATTTTGAAATTTCGTTTGTTGCTAAGAATGTTAATGAGAACTTTGAACATCCTGTAATTTTCTCGTATTTCAATTCATCAATACTAAAAAAAAAGGCAAACATTGTGAAATGATTGATAGACAAAGTTATCTGACTTAGACAAAAAAAAAGGAAATATACAGAATCTTAAGCAGAATCAATTGAGACCGATAAAGATTCCATGAAAATTATTTATAAACTGGCACCGTGACTTCGTCACCATCACATACCATACCTGGTGCCTTTTTTACCCATTTTTGTACGAAAGAATTTTTAAGGTGGGCCTCAATTACAATGAAATAAAAATATCAACTGGTTCTTTGGTAACCACGTAAAGTTGTAAAATTTATTCAGGTCACGTAACTAATCAATATTAAGTTAATCAGGTGTTAAATACTTACCAAAATCTTTGATGTATTTTTCCAATTTATCGTTTTCTTCTTGCGAACTTATACTGGCCAAATGCATGCCGTGAAATCGGCAGTACTGGGTAGCACGGAAATAATTTGCCTGAAAATATCAATTATCTGTTATATCATTTTGTGGATATAATTCATAAATTAGGAGCGAATGGCAGAAATATCCATAATAATGTGGGTTAGGTGAGAGAATGTTGTTTGATTGTTGAAAAAATTAATCCACTTTGAATTATTTTATCCTATAGTATAGGGCTTCCAAATATATAAATGTTATATATATAAATATGCATAAAGAAATCTGTCAGGAAGTAAATGTAGTTTGATATTTTTTTGCCGCAAAATCTCACTTTCTAGACTAAAACACTTTTGCCGTTAGAGAGTTGCTACGATCCGTATTTTGTAATAAAAATCTATTCCTTCGTTCTGATATTCAATATGAAGCAAATTAAATTGTAACTTTTGGTGTTGGCAGTATCGTTTTTAAAGGTATAATATTTCATTTAAACGTATGATCATTGCAGATTCCTTTTTCCATAAAACTGCAGTGCAAATAAAATAGGTACCTAAATAGTGAGGGTATACTTTTTTAGAATAGTCTAGGTATCATCAGTTACTGCAATCCTAATTTGACATGGGTATATAGGGTTCGAACAATTAGAAAATAATCGATATTGGGATTGAGTTTGAAGGTTTTCTTGGGAGTCAGTCAGGTTTCAACCTTCACAGCCAGTTAACTTTTCTTCAAGTATTATAGACTCGAATCAAAACTTCAATTTTTTCAATACCTTTATCTTATTTTTTATTGAAAACCTAATGTTACCTCTATGCAAAGTTAATGTCAAGGTAATCCAGTAGCATATTCTGTATTATGTTTTGATTTATATGGTTTGGTGGGCTTAATACCAATGGCACGTATGAGGATAAGTACTCTTCCGGATTTAACTTAAAATAACACAAAAATTACAATGGACCGTTTCCCATTGACTTGGCTGACTCCTTTTATACATTCTGATAAACGTCAATTATTCTCAATAGTAATCCGTAATTTGCTGAAGTAAATATATAGTATATTATCCGTTCACAATCCGATGTCCACTGGTACCGGTAAAATTTATCACCTTTCAATGCTATTTGATAGGGAAAGGTGATAAATGAACCTGCACCTGTGGACATCGGATTGTGAACAGGATTTAGGTCCTCATTGTAAACCATAGGGCATACAATGACTTTATGGTCCTAAACCTCGATTTGAGCTATCAACTGCAATGAAATAGACTATAGATTTTTCCATTTGCAGTCATTCCATTCTCGAAAGTTCTGATGGTAAACAGCAGCAAGTCGGGTTCAAGGGACATTTTCCTTATTTTGAACCCTAAAAGAAGATCATCCCATGCAAAGGTAAATTTGCAAAGTGAGATGATTATGCATCAACTAATAATAGTAAAAATGACTTAAGCTTGTCTAATAGAAAGTGCAATTTCAAACTACTGAACTGCAATATACCTAAACTTGAAAAGAATAAACGCAAAATGCGATAGTTATACAGTAACCACTTTAAATAAAGAAGCTTTTAAGGCAAATTTAGCTGAAATTGAAACTTTAAACTGGTCTAATCCCAATTTATTATGTGATCAAATAATACGTTCTTATAATAACAATTTGCATAATCGACACTATATAGAAATATATTTCGTGCCAAAAGTGCTCCTTGGTATAATTGTGAGACACTTTGAATTGATGAGGAGGCGGGACTTTCACTATCAACGACATAAAATGTTTCCACATAGTGCGTATTTACTTGAACTTTACAAATTAACACAAAAAGAATATAGACAATCACTAATTGACAGAAAAAGCTTATTACAATGCCGAAATTAGTAAAGCAGGGAATGATGTTAAACATACATGAAGAACACTAAACACTATAATCAACAACTCTAAACCCAGGAAAGACCGCTTGCTACCCAAGTTAGTACATGAAGGACACACTGTGTAGAACCCACAGGATATTGCTAACTTGCTAAACCAATACTTTTCCGGAATTGCTGCAGAACTAGCAAAAAACATCCCCCCAACAATGTTTTCCCCTCAACTCCAACCAACTTCTACTGCCTATATAAATCAATGGCAACCTGTGACTACAAAGGAGGTCACTGCAGTTATAAACAAATTAAAACCAGGAAAATCACCTGGAACTGACAGCTTTGGCATTGATACAATCAAGGAATTGAAAAATGAAATACCGCCTACTTTATGTAAGTTGATAAATCTTGTTTTTAATACTGCATCTCTACCAAGTCTGTTTAAAATGGCAAACGTTGTCCCTTTGTTTGAAGGTGGTGATAGCACAGAACCAAACAACTACAGGCCTATTTCCTTGCTCCTAGCTATGCCTAAATTATTGCAGACCTGTGTAAATATGCGATTAACCAGTTATTTGGATGAAATAAATTTTTGGTATGCGCAGGAACTACAGACCTAATCACAAATATTTATGAAAAGGTTGATAGGAGATATAAGTGTGTACTCACAAAATTCTCGTGGAGGTGCTTGAAAAAACTAGTATTGGAGGTTCAGCACTACTATGGTTTAGGGATTATTTATCGGGCAGACTACAGTATGTAAAATGTGAAGGTAACAGAAATAAAATGGAAAACATTGTACACGGAGTGCCCTAAGGTTCAATTCTACCTCTTCAGAGCTGTCTCAATTTATATGCATCACCTATTTTGACAAGGACCCTGCTAACCTAAAAATCATCATTGAAGAAGACTTACAGAAAATAGGCGATTGGCTCTGTTACCACAAACTTAGTTTAAATTCAAAAAAATCATGCTATATGGTAATATCGAAGTTTGAGTCCTGGCGTGACTTCAAGATAAACTTACAAGGTCTGCTATTGACTCGTGCAAACTGCATCAAATACCTGGGACTCTTTGTCGATTCAAAACTTACTTGGGATATGCACATCTTGCATATTATGTAGAAAGATTGCACCAGCAATTGGAATACTTGGTCGAATATCGGACTATCTATCCATTACGCATCGTAAGATGTCATACAAATTCCCTTATCCGTCCGCAAATATCATATCTAACTCTGCTAGGGGGCGATGCTTCCTTTAACAAACTACATCCAAGGTCAGTTCTCCAGAATCGTGCTATGAAAAAATTGTTCAAGCTTCCATTTCTGTTTCCAACAAAAGACTTATATCAACCGAATGGCATTCTCGAAATTCACTCCCTGTATATCTTGCGATCATGCATCTTTATCCATTCTTGCAAGACTTCCAATATTCACTCTACAATCAGTCTCATCCAAGCCAACACAATCCATCACCACAATACCAGACTCAATGAAAACTTGAGAATGGCAATGAACACTACAAATGGCCAACACAGCATCTTGTCCGAAGGACTAAGGTACTACAATTGAATTCCAGAATCTGTTAAAAAATTGAACATAACTTGCTTCAAGTGTAAGCTGAAGCAGCAGATCTTCGATGGATACTTGGAACTAATATATTCATAAATGCAACAACTTTGTGATACAGTACGTACTTGCACTGGATATTTTCTGTTGTGTAATATTGTATAATAATATGGGATATTGTAATAATGTTATATATGACAGGTACGGAATGACCCGCATAGCTTTCCAGCTCAGGCAGGGTGTCTAGTTTAGGTACATACATTTATTGTTTAACTATCATGTTGAAATAAAGGATTTTTTTTTTATTTATATACTTAATAATAAGAGTTCTTAAAAATGTATTTTTGTGATAGTTTTGATTTTGTCTGATAGGCTGATGATGGGAAGATACATTGCCGAAACGCGCAAATTTTATGTTTTTTATTTCAAAGAAAATGTTCCTAAATCCTAACCTTTACAAGTGAAACAGTTGTTTTATAGTGAGTCAACCCAGACCATAACATCCTACTGGATCACCTTGGCATTAAAGTTACATTACCGAAATGTAATTATCGATTTGGCTCTGATTTATCTTAAGACCAATAAAAAAAGTTTCTTAGTGATAATATATTTTTTTTTATGTTATTAATGATCGACAGAGCCATTTTACAAAGAACAACAATTAATGTAAATATAAAATAGCCAACAATACAGATAAACAATTTAAGAAAAAGCAACTATTACAATAATTATAATACATTTGCGGTCTTATTCAAAATTCCTAATTTAAACATTGGATAATCACGCCTCCCTTGACTGGCATTGAAAGAAATACCATGTATACCAGAAAAGAACAGAAGTAGGTACCATTAATTATCTTAAATAGAACCAGAAGGTCACAATGATGTCTTGTTACTTCAAGACTGTCAATATCATACTGCTGGCCGATTAGACCATTGGTAATTTGATAACCACCACGTATCCTTGCATTTGCCCTGAGAGCCATGGATCTCCAAAATGTTTTCTGCACAGACTCAAGTTCACCAATATGACATACGTAGTAGGAAGACCAAACAACAGAGGTATACTCCAAAACCGAACGAACGAGCGAGCAATACAGCAACTTGAAGGAATACGGCAAGAGCTGAGCACTGTTACGGTTTGATTTGAGTTGATTTAACAACATTCTCACAATGAGGAATAAATATTAATTTAGAGTCGAACAATACCCCCAAGTCTCTGACTGTTTTCACAGACACCAAAACTGAACCATCGATAGAATATCCATATTGTATTACATTTGCTGAACGACTAAATGAGATACACAAACATTTCTTAACATTCAGCTCCAGACCATTATTCTACACCATGGCATAGATTGACACTGTCAACATCCTCCTGCAGTAAAAGCACATCCATATACTCAACAACTCTGAATAGTTTAAAATCATCAGCAAAAGCCAAATGCTCCGAATGAACAATAAAATTACTCATATCTCGTATATAAACAAGTTAAAAAGGATAGGTCCAATGTGCGATCCTTGGGGCACGCTAGAAAAGACCTGTATTTCACTTGAGATAAAGTTGCCAACCCGTACCAGTTGAGTACGCCCGGTCAAGATGAGACTTTGACAAAAATCAACCACCATCCTACCCATTCCAAAAGCCTCAAGCTTACCA